TGGGCATGGTGTGTCGGTCTCTGTGCCGTGACGGGTGCAGTGTCTGCTAGCTGTGTGCTGGCAGGCTTGCACCTGGCACGGGGACCGTAGCCAGCCCGTGTCCCTTTAAGGGGTCCGGGGCGGGGAGGGGGGCAGTAGAGTTTCCCTGGTGTTGGCCAGAGTGGCCACCAGGGAAAGCTGGGGAGGGCTAGCCTCCCACTAGTTCAAATTAAGGGGCTACACACCTCTTAATTCGAACTAGTAAATTCGAACTAGGCTTAATCCTCGTGGAATGAGGATTACCTAGTTCGAACTAAGCACTCCGTTAGTTCGAATTAAATTCGAACTAACGGAGCGCTAGTGTACACTTTGTAGTGTAGACATACCCTATGTTATTTAAACACTTTGGCTTAAAATGAGCAAAAAAACATGTTGTACACTGTTAACCAAATTCTGTTGTCTCATGCAAAATGTGTATTGTAATTTTTTTTTATCTTTACTGCTGTTTTCTAATAATGCCCCTCTCACTGAAGATCCAGTTCTGTAAAACTTAGCTTGTGTGAGTAGCCCATTTGATTTAAAGTGAATGGGACTGCTCGGATGAATAAACATTTGCTATGTAACTAACAGGTTATTCATTAATATTACAACTGTCTTCTGTTTTAGCTTCATCTATCCTGAAGAGGGAGAAGCGGAAGAGAACAAAAAATGTTCATTTTAACTGTGTTACCGTGTACTACTTCACAAGAAGGCAAGGCTTCACTAGTGTCCCAAGTCAAGGAGGAAGCACACTGGGCATGTCCACTCGTCACAACAGTATGCGCCAGTACACCCTTGGAGAATTTGCAATGGAACAGGAGAGGCTTCATCGAGAGATGTTGAGAGACCATCTAAGGGAGGAGAAACTTAACTCTTTAAAACTGAAGGTAAGAATAGAAAGAAGACTTTGCTTGCTCCCGTCTCCACATTCTCAGTGGATACCATCAAGCAATCATAGGCCCAATCACTTTCTCTGATTTTATCAAGTTTAAATTCAATAGATAGGGTCCTTTGATTTTTAAAAAATTTCAATTAAAATAGATTTTTGTTTGGATTTCATATTTTAACCTACAGCCAATGCAATCCAAAATATGGCAGTCTGTTGCTACTGATGACCTATGGAAAGTGGAACTGACCAATTAATTTTCTTGTCAAACTTGAGCTAAATGAAAAATGTAATCAAACATGAATGGTGATAAGTATATTCCATTTTGGGGGGAAAAAAATCATCTTCTACCATATTATAAACTGCACAAGTATGGATGCTTATTATTTTAAATATATATTTTAATCAGAAAATATGCCTTTATAGAAGAAAAACGTACAAAATTTCAGCTTTTTGTATCAACCCCAAAGATTTCTGAGTATACTAAGTCAGTTTCTTCAAATTGGAAATATGGTCCTTGGTTAGCTTTTGAAATACAGCAGAGTAGATTTTCAAGATGTGTATCCTCTTTACATTCAGGCTACATCTACATTGGCCCCTTTTCCAAAAGGGGCATGCTAATTTGACAGGTCATAATAGGGAAATCCGTGGGGGATTTAAATATCCCCCGCGGCATTTAAATAAAAATGTCCGCCGCTTTTTTCTGGCTTTTAGAAAAGCCGGAAAAGAGCGCTCCGGAAAAGGGCTTTTTTCCGGAGGATCAGGGCCAGTGTAGACGCTCTTTTCCGGCTTTTCTAAAAGCCGGAAAAAAGCGGCGGACATTTTTATTTAAATGCCGCGGGGGATATTTAAATCCCCCGCGGATTTCCCTATTATGACCTGTCAAATTAGCATGCCCCTTTCGGAAAAGGGGCCAATGTAGACGTAGCCAATGTGTATCACTGAAAAATTAGATTTAGAAACACTCAGCCCATTCCTGAATCTTCTTATAATTAGTGGCAATAATTAGTGACAAAACTCCCATTGGATTCAATAGGTTAGGCAAACTAAGAATATCTGTTAACTGTTTGTGTTATCCATTTATTTATTTTGGCATGGTTTCAAATTAATCTATGAAATAAGCTTTGAATGATTTTAAGAATTGTAGCCTATCTGCTCTGGTTTGCAGCCCTTTTCCCTTTATAAGATTGTGCTCAGAGTACATCTCTGTTTTAGATACCACTAGAGGGCAGATTTCCAAAACAAACTGGCATTATTCTCAGTTTAGAATATTACTCATATTGCCTCTCTGTTTCTGTGTGGCTCTGCTTTTCAAACACTATTGTAATTATTTTGCTCTCTACTAAAGTTTCAGCTTTGAACAGTGAACAGTTTTTAATAGCTTCTAACCCTCAATATTCATGGTGATTAGGACACATAGGTGAACGAAAGGCAGACATCAGAATGGATTTTCAGTGGCAGGCCAACTTTATTGACATTGGATAGGTACTAAATATTCCCTTCTATCTCATACACCAGACATTTACCTGGATCTAGTGTGCCAGTATATGGCTCCTACCAGATTACCAATAATGTGGGGGTAAACTCCTGGCCTGTGCCTCAGGACTTAGCTCACTTCTGAGTCCTCAACCCATCCCCCCTGCCCAAAGAGTAGAGGTTACCAGTAAAGGCATCAGGCTTCCCCTTCTTCATACAGGCACAAGATCCACCAAGAAAAATTCCATATCTAATTTACTTCTAGTGTTCTCATCGCTTTCAAACCTTTTGGGGATTGGCAAATACTCCTGTTTAGTCCACTGAGCAACATGCCTCTGACCTAATGAATCAAGAGGGGAGGCACATTTTTGGGTGGCACAGGGTCTCTGTCCAACCAGTCCTCTGGTGCTGAGACTAGATGGAGTGGGGCGAAGGGCTGTTTAAAGTAGACTGTGACATTTAGTCGGGTTATTAAATTCCTGTGACTTCCTTTTTCAGATATTGGTTTAGCAATAAAAGTTTGATGTCCATTCCATGCACCCTGCTCCCATCCAGTCTCTAACTACTGGATTAGTTCCTGTAGCCAAAAGGAAAGGCCTCACCTATAGATGAAAGGTTCTTCCCTCACTATTTCTTAGCCACTCGTGTGATTGTGAATCTGTTTTGGGGTTGTAGGTTTACTTTGTATTGCCCACCCCATATATTCAAAACTTATGAGTCAAGCACCCAAAATCATGAGACTAATATAAAAATCATGAGATTGTTTTTAAAAAGTATTCTTTTTATTTGCCTTCCGATTGTTGAGCTTTATAGGTGTGTTTGGGTTTCTTTTCAAGCTTTTCTGTGCAACCATGAGAACTAGAAAGCTGAAATTCTTCCATATTCAGGACTATGGCTGTAAGAAAATAACAAATGTAAGAGTCCCAATAAAACCATAAGAGTCAGTAACAATATCGGAATATGTATTTCAGATACCAGATTTGATTCTTTTCTCATTTTAACCAGTGTAGACATCAATGGAGTTACTGGTGTTAAACAAAATACAGGACTATGTGGCACTTTAAAGACTAACAATATGGTTTATTAGATGATGAGCTTTCGTGGGCCAGACCCACTTCCTCAGACCAAATAGTGGAAGAAAATTGTCACAACCATATATACCAAAGGATACAATTAAAAAAATGAACACGTATGAAAAGGACAAATCAAATTTCAGAACAGAAGGGGGATGGGGGAGGGGGAAGAACTGCTTCAAAGGCCTTTTAAGACTACACTTGAAAGAGAATCCTCTGAACTGTCATTCATGCTTAAATTCGACACTTTACACCTAAGATTAACAAAGACATTCATTATCTAGTTCAGAGGATTCTCTTTCAAGTGCAGATTTAAAAGGCTTCTGAAGCAGGATGCAGGTAATTAAGTCATTGAGACAGTGTCCTTTCTGGTTGAAATGGCAAGAAACTGTTTTTTCTTTGTGATCCTGTCTAATATCTGTTTTGTGGGCATTGATCCTTTGGCGAAGTGTCTGAGACGTTTGTCCAATGTACGTAGCAGACAGACACTTTCGGCACATGACAGCATAAATTATATTTCTGGATGCACAGGAATATGTGTTCTAGATCTTAATGGGAGCTCCATCACTCCCGTTGATACTAATGAGCATTATATTGAATGTTTTGTTCCAATAATACGCATTCATGCCATCTTCCTTTTTTCAAAAATTAGTTGTGAGGGGCATTGGGGGAGAAATAAATTTGTCCCATTCAATCACAATCAATGTTAGAAGTTAGAGAGATCATTTATTAACTATCCTTTTAGCCAATCATTCTGAAAGCATTGGGCCTTGTTCATTTTTGGTTTTGGAGATGAAAGAACTATGTCTCAATGAACACAAGAAACAAAAACTTAAACAACAAATAATGTGGGTGCACTTTAAAGACTAACAAAACATGCAGAAGGTATCATGAGCTTTTATGGGCACAAAAGCTCATGATACCATCTACATGTTTTGTTAGTCTTTAAAGTGCTACAGACTATTGGTTGTTTTTTAAGTTTTTCATCTTGTACAGACTAACTCAGCTACCCCCTGAAGCTTTTTAGCAACAAGAAAGAAAGGCATTACAGATCTCAAGTGAATATGTCAGTGGTTATGATCTTGATTTGAAGTGTGCTGTCCCAGAGTTAGATATGCATTGCTCTACAACTGCACAGAAAGCCATGACATAAAATGAAATAGGGAAAGTTTTTGTTTTAAAAGCTTTTTTAATTACCACAAAGTTGTTTTTAAAAGGAAAAAATTAATAGGACTCCTAGGCAGCAAATGTGACTTACTGTGGGTTTCATTTAGAAATGAAAATGTCTGATAAAGGAATCAGTATCTATGTTAGGTACTTTGGTTTCTTTTTATATTATTTGCTGTGAATAGCAGTTTCTTATTTAGTTCCTCATATTATTAAAATCAAAGAAGGTTTGTAAAATATACAAAGATTATTTTAAGCATTTATGTACTGTGCAGGTTTGGCACTCCTGGCATTGTTAACACTATTGATTTCATATCAGCAGTTGTTTGTGAAAATTTAGATTGCTGACTGTGAGTTGGAGTGTAAAAATCATCCTGTCTACATGAAAGGGACATGGGAGCATTTCCTTGAACAAATGATCATTTGAGGAAGCATTAGTAACCTTGGTAAATTCACCAGCATGACCTGAGTGATGTAAAAGTTCACAGATCTGGGAACCTACATGTGTCAGCACTTTTTCCTTGCTTCAATCTAGCTTTTGCTTTATACACTTCAGACTTGTGCTTCCTGAGAAAAAGAAAACTCAGAGAAAAACCACTAGAACTTGTTTGTCTAGTCTACCACATTATAGGAATAGAATTATTCTAAGTCCTTTTCCCCTTACAAAAAGGTAATCGTTATTTCAACCCTTCTCCACCTTTTTATGAGTATCTAACAGACATCAGAGAATATGCAAGAGAATAGTTGACAAGGAACTATATATGTCAAGTCAAATTTTCTAGTCTCTGAATATGTATAGTATCTGTAGGAAAGATCTTTGTTCTTTTTGACTGATATATAAACTAATAAAATGTATGAAACAAGACAAAATTGTTTGAATATGGTCCATTTACCTGTAGCTTGTGGAGATGTGTGTTAAGCACTTCACTATGGGCATGTCTAAACTACATTCCTCTTTCGAAAGAGGAATGTAAATGAAGCAAATCGGAAGTGCAAATGAAGCGCGGATTTAAATATCCCATGCTTCATTTGCATATTCTCGTCCGAGTGTTTTCTCGAAAAAAGATTTTTCGAAAGTGGAAGCGCAGTTTAGACAGGATTCTTTAAAAAAACACCCCTTTTTTGAAAGAACCCGTACTCCTGAAAAAATGAGGAGTATGGATTCTTTCAAAAAGGGTTTTTATTCCTGAGAGAACCCCGTCTAGACTGTGCTATCGCTTTCGAAAAACCCTTTTTCAAAAAAGCGCTCAGATGCAAATATGCAAATGAAGCGCAGGACATTTAA